AGCCGAGGGGTTTGCGAACGTTCCCCCGCTGCGGAGCAGATCTCTAGCGAAGCGGAGGGGCGGGCGGCAGAGGCCGAGAGCGGAGAGCAGGTGCGAGAGCCAGAATCGGAGCGGGAGCTGGATCGACGCTAGCGCGGCGGAGATGTGCGCGGCGGGGAGGCGCTGGGGCCGGCGGCAGCGAGTGCTGCTGTGGGGCGTCCTGCTGGCGGCCTGGGAGGCGGCGTGGGGGCAGCTGCGCTACTCGGTGCCCGAGGAGATGCCCAAGGGCTCGTTCGTGGGCGACGTGGCCAAGGACCTGGGGTTGCAGATGCTGGCTCTGCGGGATGGCGGTGTCCGCCTTTTGGACAAAGGTAGGACGCAGTATTTTGCTCTGCATGGAAAGACGGGACATTTAGTGACGGCCGAGAGGATCGACAGAGAGCAGCTGTGCCGGCTGGTGGAGCAATGCGTGCTGCGCTGTGAGCTGATAGTGGAGGGGGAAATGAAGGTTTACGGAATCCAAGTGGAAATCACGGACGTTAACGACAACGCACCCAGCTTCCGAGAGGCAGAAACGGAACTGAGAATGAGCGAGACGACAGCCCCGGGATCGCAGTTTCCCCTCCCAGACGCTCACGACCCGGACTCGGGACGGAATTCCCTGAAGAGCTACGAGCTTAGCGGCGACGAGCACTTCTCGCTGGCCGTGCAGACGGGCCCCGGCGGGGATCAGCGTCCCGAGCTGGTGCTGGCGAAGGCGCTGGACCGGGAGGAGGCGTCGTTCCACGAGTTGGTGCTGAGGGCGAGCGACGGCGGCGACCCGTCCCGGACGGGCACGGCGCGGATCCGCGTGACGGTGCTGGACGCGAACGACAACGCGCCCGTGTTCAGCCAGGCGGAGTACACGGTGCGTGTGCCGGAGGACGTGCCCGTGGGCTCCACCCTTGTCACTGTCACGGCCACTGATGCCGACGAGGGCTTGAACGGGCACGTGAAATATTCGTTTAAGAAAATAATAGAACAAGAGTCGCAGATTTTCCTGCTAGATGCTGAGACAGGAGCGATCACACTGTTGCGAAGCCTGGACTTCGAGGATGGCGATTCCTACGAGCTAGAAGTGCAAGGACATGATGGTGGAGCACTCTTCGACACAGCTAAAGTCGTAGTCACCGTGACAGATGTGAACGACAACGCTCCTGAACTGATAGTGTCGTCGGCGCTGAGTGAGATCTCAGAAGATGCCCCGACGGGGACTGTTGTGGCCCTGCTGCACGTGCACGACCGAGACTCGGGGGCCAACGGCGAGGTTCGCTGCTCCCTTGACGGTAGCCACCCGTTCCGCCTGGAGAAGTCCTTTGAGGAGTACTACCGCGTGGTGACAGCGAGAGAGCTGGACCGGGAGCAGGAGTCGGAGTACAACGTGACGGTGCGGGCGGCCGACGGCGGTCGTCCGTCGCTGCAGAGCAGCAGGGTGCTGTGGCTGCGGGTGCTGGACGTGAACGACAACGCGCCGGTGTTCTTGCAGGAGCGCTACAGCGCTCGGCTGTCGGAGAACAACGTGGCGGGCGCGCTGGTGCTGCGGGTGCGGGCGACCGACTCGGACTGGGGGGAGAACGCGCGCGTGCGGTACCGGCTGGGGGAGGGTGGTGTGCGGGGCTCGGCGCTGT